CAGTGCCTGAACCTCTCACTGCTCTGAGCGTTCCAAGGGCTTTGTTCTTATGTCTCAAAAGACGGCAAGTTGAATGCCTTCTACATAAAGCCCTTTGATGCTGTGCCATCATTCTTAGACTCAAGACCTGCATGGGATGGCCCCTGCCTACTTCCCTAGGCTTGTCTCCCACCATCTAACCCACCAGCTATGCTGAGTGCCTCTCAGGTCCTTTGTACATGCTGTTTCCTCTTCTTCCAGGGTGTTTCCTCATCCTCTTTACTGGGTCAGCTCCTCTTTATCATCAGGTCTCAACTCAATGGTCACTTTCTCTGAGGCCCCATCTTGACCATTTATGTCCCCTCTTGTGCATTCTCCTAGCTGCCCAAAACTGTTCTTTGGAGTGCTGAGGCTGAGTGTAATCACGATGATCTGCGTGGTTATTTAAAGTATCTGAGTTCCTTGCTAGAGGCCACTCCCTGAGGCTGGAGACGGCTTCTGGTTTGTTCCCTGTTGGGTTCTCACTGTCTGCTTGACGTGTGGTAGGTGCTCCATAAACATTTGGAGTAGCCCATCTGCACCCATTTGAAGGGCAAGGTCAGACCAAGCTGAGAATCCACTTCCCACCACTTCCGTAGGTCATTGGTCGCTGCCCAGAGGAGGGGATGTACCCTTTCTGGTGCCTCTGGGAGCATCCTGGGAAATGGAAGGTGCCCACCCAACTTCACTGGGTAACCAAAGGCTCCCCTTGAGCGCGCAGCCTGGTGATGGATGTTTCCTGGATGTGAGGCGTGAGCAGTAGTCATTAAGTTAATCAGGCATGTAAAAACATAAGTAGAGAGTGACAGCCACTTAGAGCGTCCAGCTAATTGGGCAGTTAATGTGGAGACATTAGACAGGCAAACAAACAGGCTGCCAAAGGAGACAGGTCCTCTCTTAGGCAGTGAGGAACCTTCCATTTCAGAACACCAGGGACATCTTCTGTTTCAGCCTCGGGGTCTGAGAATCCCTGAATGTTGGCCAGGAGGGGAAGCGTGAGGTGCATCTCATCTAACCTCTCACATTATAGTCTGGGGAAAGGGGACTCAGAGCAGAGGCGCTACAAGGTCATTGACTGAATAAAAGGTAGGAATCAAACCTGCATCTTTTAACCCTTGGCTTACCTGTTCTCTATCTTCAAAAATGCACTTTTTCTCCTGATATAAAGCTAGACATGCTAAAGTTAAGAAATGGTAAAGGAGTCCAGCTCCCTTGAGGAGGGAGGTGGAGAAGTGTTAAAGAAGAAAATAACAGTTGCTTATATTCCCACTATCCAGTGATAATCACTATGAGTATTTTGGTGTGTTTCCTTTCTAATTTTTTTTTTTGTCCAGTGAATATGTTCAAATGAGCATGTTCTAAACCCAAAGTCATACCCTGATCACAATTGTCCATCCTGGGTTCTTTTCCCCTACTGAACGCAACAAGGAGAACATTTTCCCATGTGATTTGCCCTCCTGCTTCCTTCCTGACGATAGCATTTCTCAAAGTGTAGCCAAGAATTCACCAGCATCAGGATCACACAGTCGAGCCACTTCAAAATGCAGATTCCCCTGCCCAGCCCCAGCCCCGTAGAATCATTGTCTGAATGTCAAACACTCTCTGTAGGTGATTTGGAGACACCATGCATTTGGGGACCATCCCTCCATGCAGGGGCTCTCAGCAGGGCCATGGTCTGCGATGTTGGCATCTGGGCTTCCCCAGATCCATAGCTGAGAAGCTGGGGCCGCATGCATTGTGTACTTCTTTTCAATGCTCTCTGAGTGATTGACATACATTGTGAGTTGTGAGAATCTTCCATGAGGCATATGGGGTGAAGAAGCTGAATTGTTTTATCACCATGGCTCCTTGTCTTCCATGACATAATATTGACTTAGCTTCCTGTGAAGTTTTATTTCCAAGTTTATACTCTTTGGCTGGTGGGGCCCTCCGTGTTGAGTCTCTAGTATTTGGGGCAACCGAGAGGGTGTCCCGACGGATGGACTGCAGGAAACCCTCTGTTCATTCCTGATCTTCAAACAGAGAAGGGAGGTCTGCCCATCTTCACCCCACATGCTTCTCCCTTTATTGGTCTGTTCTGAATTCACAAATAACAAGGGTCCCTGAGCTGAGACATCCAAATAATGATCTACATCTGTTGTTTTTCCATGCCATTTGCTGCCACTGATAGAAGCTAATGACACGCTCCCAGTACAATGCATGTTAATGGGCCTTTCAGCATCTAGAATTCTCCACCTCCCAGCTGTGTGACTTGGGTAAATCACTTAACCTCTCTGTGTCTCCATCTTAACTATTTGCGGAATGGGGACAAGGATAGTCCTTAGCTTAGGTGCGGCTGGAAGGAATTCAGGAAATCCACGTGAGTGCTGATCTGTGCCCCTGGCATGTGGTAAGTGCCCAGTAAACATCAGCTATTGTTATTCTAGGTGTTCTGAGACCTTAGATGGGGCTCACTCCGGGTTACTGCTCCCACCCGCCATCATCCTATAAAATCAGTTTCTAGAGGAACAGGGAGGAAGGGGTGCAGGAAGAGGAAGATGAGGAAAGGAGGAGCGTGTAGCCTTTGACTCTGTGCATCTGCCTCCCTGAGCGGCTCTGCCTGACCCGGGTCACTGCAGAGGCTCCCAAACCTACAGGCTGCTTTTCACTGTTTCTTGGGCAGAGCGGCTCTGTTAAATGGAACACAAAGGGAGAAGTTGTTATTTACAACATTGCCAGTCAGAGCACTTTGAGAGAATGGCAAAGGTGAGGGGGGCCTAGAGGGGGAGTGGCATCAGGTGGCTGCCAGGCAGGGCTGCCTGGGGCCTCCTGGGGCCTGCGATGCCCAAGCCCCATCCCAGCGGTTCTCACACCTGCCGTGTCCACAGCTGGGACCTGCTTATGGAGGGGCGGGCGGGGTCCAGAGCCGTCTGTGTGAAGTGACTGTGGCTGGAATGGGAACAATAGGTCTTGTAAAAGCAAGGAGATGACTTACTTTAAGCTGGTGAGAAGTGTCCCAAACCTACCTGAGATCACAAGGATGCCTACAGGTTATATTGTTAGGTAGCCTTGCTATTTAGAGTACACCTGGGGACCAGCAGCACCAGGTGGAAGCTTTCTAGAAATGCAGCATCTCAGGCCCTACCCCAGACCTGGTGCTTCAGAATCTGCATTCTGACAAGATGCCCGGGTGTGCACATTAAGTTAGAGAAGCAGCAGTGTAATGCACATGAAACTTGGGTTCTAGTTTTGGCTCTGCCACTTCCTAGCTGTGTGACATTGGGCAAGTCACTTAACTTCCCTGTGCCTCACTTTCCTCACCTGTAAAATGGTATAACTGCCTACTTCCTAGGGTTGGGGGGCAAAAAACTTCATAGCATGCCAGGCATATAAATGCTATATAAGTATAAGCTGTGATCATACATTACTTGATACTCAACCCAGCTTGCTTTTGTTGGATAAAAATGTGGGAAATAGGCTGCCCTTATTCATTCAGTGATTCAGCCATCATGTGGGCACTGTTCTGGTCCTGGGAACAGAGCAGGAACATAACAGACAAGGTCCCTGGCCCAAGGAAGCCCATAGTCCAGAGGAGCAGCTAGAGATGCACTCACAATTAATTAGTTATTTAATGTAGATAATCTCACAATTACAGAGAGACTAATGTTGTGAAGAAGTACAGCATTGCTATGAGAGTAAATAAAAAGGGTGGTCAAAGAGGGCTTCTAAGAGAAAGTGATATTTCAACTACAATCTGAAGTTTAAGGGGAATTCTAGGCAGGAAAAGTGTAAAAGTGTGTGTGTATGTGTGTGTGTGTGTGTGTGTGTGTGTGTGTGTGTGTGTGCATGAGAGAGAGAGAGAGAGGGTGGGGGGATCACAGCTATGGAGGAGGGCTGTATTTCAGGCATTAAGGAACAGAAGTGCAAAAGTACTGAGGCAGGACAACTGGAACTCAAAGACCAATGTGACCAGCATAGTGGTTCTCATCTCGAGTGTGCATCAGAATCCTCTAGAAGGCTTGTTGCAACAGATTTCTGGGCTCCAACCCCATAGTCTCTGATTCAGTTGCTCTGAGTGGAGCCCAAGAATGTGCATTTCTCACAAGTTCCCAGGTGACACTGACGCAGAGGGCCTGGCAATCACACTTAGAGAGCCACTAACTAGAGTATCAAAAGGAAGACCAGGGGGAAAGAGGTTACAGGTTTCACCTGAGGCCAGGCCACAGAGGGTCAAGGAAGCGCCATGGAATGGGAACCAGCTGAAGGTTTTAAAGTGAAGAGGGAGTGACATGATCAGATTTATGTTTTAGTAGCATCACCATGGCTGTGGTGGGGAGAGCAGACTATAGAAGGCCATGGCTTGTATTAAGAAAGACAATTAAGAGATTACTACAGTCATCAAGGGGAGATGGGTGAGATTCATGTAATGGAGACAAATGGGTGGATTCCAGAAATGTTAGGGAGGTAGATGCCATAGCTTTTGGTTGGATCATTATCAGAAGAGCAGGTGGTCAAGGAAGACCCCCAGCTTTCTGGTTAGAGTAGGTTAGCTGACAGTCTTGTCATTTTCTGAGAATGGGAGTAGCTATGCTGGAGATGGGACTGGAGAGCAGCCAAGATGAAGAGTTCAGCTGAAAGCACAAGTTTGAGATGGCCGTGAAGACATCCAAGTGAAGACAGGGTGTAGACAAGTCGATACACAGATGTGGAGCTCAGAAGGCAGTTTCTGCAGAGGAAGTCACATGAGATGGCAAAGACTAGACAAGGTTCTAAATCTGGAATCGATAGAAAAGGTGGGAGATGCAGGATTTGGATTCTCTGGTGTTCTGAGAATACATTGGAACTTCATATTCATGGGCCTTTTTCTGAGGAAGGGTCCCACAGTCATCATCAGATACTCAAGAGGCCAGGATTCGGAGAAGGTTAAGCCCATCGGCCTGACACCGTGGGAGAGTCCAGGGCTCCCTGGTTCTTTAAGGTCATCACTCTGTCTCTGCTTCCAGGCGCCTGGTGGACCGTCTGGAGAACATGAGGAAGAATGTGGCCGGGGACGGGGTGAACCGCTGCATACTGTGTGGAGAGCAGCTGGGGATGCTGGCCTCTGCCTGCGTGGTGTGTGAGGACTGTAAGAAGGTATCGTCACCCTCTTCTCTGCTTCCCTGCTCATCACATGCAGAGGGGCTAGGTCTGAGCTCCAGCTTGGGAGGCCCTGGGTCTTGGGGATGGAGCTTGGCTCCTGAACACTAGTTGCCAGAATATGATTGCCTCTGAGACGCTCCCATGCCAGCTGTCTTCCAAGGCAACCCTGATCTTGTTTCTCTCCTGGAAGTCATTCTGATCCTTCTGTTCCCTTGGAGCTCAGCTCCATCCAGGATGAACTTGGGAGACTTAGGCAGGACATGCGCTATGGTTGAGCCTGCAAGTGTCCTGGTTGTGGCTTAGCTGTAATGTGTCAAGCTAAAGAGCATGCTGGGCACCTCTTTACACATGTGTGTGCATGGAAGCTTAACCAACGACTCTGGGTTATGGTACACACGTCTTAGAAAGCCCCTCCAGCCAAGTTAGAACCACTGGGCTTCTTGGTTATCCATTCTTGAAGGGTTGTCTGCCTGTGCTTTCTCCACTCTGCACCCTCTGTTCAAGCTGTCTGCACCTGCCAATTCTAAGACATAGATACAACTGTCCTTGGGTCTGCCTGATTCCCAGGAAAGGATTTCAGGGGAGCAAACCAATGGGAGACATCCAGAATGTCATGTGGCATCTCCTGCTTGGGGTCTCATTTAGCACTCAGAATGGAGTAACAAAGAAGGTTTATCTATTGCAAAATGCTTGTCTGCTGCAGCCAACCAGAAAGTAAGAATCTTGTGACCTATAAGATCTTCTTATTTGTCTTGGCTGCCAGGAAACTTAGCCAAAAGTATATGTTTTATCACATTGTCATGGCATTTACTCAGGTAACTTCCTTCTCCTTGAAGAGTGGAACCTGTAGCCATAGTCTAGAATGTCTCATGTTCCTTTGGAAAAGAAAGAAGAAACAAATTCATAAACAAAATAAGTATATGGCCTTTCCTCTTGAAAAATCATGTCAGTGATCTCCTGAAAACTCAGAGCCCACAGGGACTCTTGGAAAATTCCTTTATCTAGTGCTTGAGAATGACTCCAGTTCTTGTTGTTGGAAATTAAGATTCAGATTGGAACTTCTAACCAGCCTTGATCATGGGAGGGCGTAAGAAAAAGAGAGTTCAATATCCTTACATCCACCAAAAGGAAATAGGGCTCTGTTGCTATCCTTCCTGGCTGCTTCCCTGATCACTGGCAGCTCAGGGCCTAGCATATCTGAGCGTGCACTGGCTATGTTTTGTCCCCAGAATGTCTGCACCAAGTGTGGGGTGGAGACCTCCAACAGTCGTCCTCATTCTGTGTGGCTCTGCAAAATCTGCATTGAGCAAAGAGAGGTGAGTGGATTGGTCCCATTGGCTTCTGGAGCACCCTCCTTTCTTTGTCTATCTCCCCCTTCTTTGTTGGAACTAAAACAGAGTGGCAGTTGAGATCTGGGGAACCTGGTCAGGCATGGGTCTTAAGGGGTTGGTATGAAAGGAACCAGCTCAGCTGTGCATACAAGAACAGTCCCCAGATGTTTGAATGTATTTTTTTCTCCCCTCCCACTTTTGGGATTTTTCTCTGCTTAGCAGTATGGAGCACACCACATCTAAGAAGTGGTATCTTACACTTCATATCCAGTCTTTTCCTTCCACTTGCCAGCTGTGTAACCTTATTCCAGTTTATAACCTTCCTGATAGTCAACTTTCTTCATCAAGAAAATGGGTATACTCAGACCCTCTTCTTGAGCATCACGGACATTGTGTGCATCAAATAGGAATTGTGAAAAGTTGCATACTGGTGAGAAATGTGTGCTGGCTATTGTGTTAGTGCACAGACAGCAGGGAGCAAAGTTAAAAACTGGCATTCACAAAGGCAAGAGCAATAGTGCTTGGCTGCTGTGTCTTCATCCTCTCCCTCTCCTGCCCCAGGTATGGAAGCGTTCTGGAGCATGGTTCTTCAAGGGCTTCCCCAAACAGGTCCTCCCCCAGCCTATGCCTATAAGGAAGCCCAAGACCCAGCAGCCGGTCAGTGAGCCCACTGTCCCTGAGCAGCCCACCCCGGAGCCCAAGCACGCTGCCCGGGCTCCAATTGGAGGTAGGACAAAAATGACATTTCCTTTCAGTACCAAGGACAGATCCTGGCTAACTTGTCACCTAGAGGATGTCCTGTCCTCCTGTCTGTTTCTACCCAGCTGGTGGACAGCCAGGCTCTGGGGTTGGGTCTAGGATGCCTATGTCCTCTTCACAGCTCACCATAAATAATTATCAGGAACGTAGCACAGAGAACCCTCCAGCAGCGCCTGGCAGCCAAAAGCCTTTGTTGTCATCCGTCCCTGCTGGAGCATTCAGAGGTACAAGAGAGGTGGAAATTAAAATTAGAAATGGAGAGACTCCCGTCACCAATATACTCTCCGGAGCCTGGGGGGATTTGGGGCTTGCTGAGGAGGCCTTCCTTGCCCCTGATATTTCTTCTATCCACCACCAACTGCAAATCTGAAATTGGACTAATTAAAGGTAAAAGATGAACAGACAGGAAGTTAGTAAAGGAAAATTACCACTCCTATGGATATTATCACTATTATCCAAGTGTTATTATTAGTTATTAAAAGAATGATAAAAAGGAAGAGGCCAAATAGTAAAAAGGAAAAAAAAAAACAACCACAATAAAAACATTGTAATTGAATGAGACCATAAGCTCTGACCAGATAAAGCCCTTGCAACAATTTCAATTAACACTGTGTGATAAAATCTGGTCTGCATGACAATTCCGGAGTTGTGTGCAGGCAGTGCTTCTGAAAGGAAGGTTATAGTAGAAGGTTTCAAAAATGGAAGTGCCCAGCTATGTTTCCTATAAGATTACTTCTCAAGATTCCAGTACAGTGGCTGGCACTGAAAAGGCACTCAACAAATGCTTTCTTCCTGACAAGGCAAGAGCAATTTCTATTCCTTGTGGAGAAGCACCAAATTCTCAATACACCCTACATGCCCTAGAGGCCCCCAGTTTCCACCACTAGAGCATCCTTCTTTCTCATTTCCCATTACTCCCTCTAGACTGCGAAGCTAGCATAGCATAACTGTCAAGACCTCGGACATCTGAGGTCAGGAAGACCTGAATTTGAATTCCAGCCCTTGCTTGGGCAAGTCACCTATCCTTTTGGAGACTCTTGCCCCATCTATAAAATGGAGTTGATAACTCATTGGGTTTTAGTCTGAAGATGAAATGAGATACCACATGCGAAGTGCTTTGCAGAATGGAGCACTTTGTAAATGTAGGCCAATCTCACCACTTATACACAGATACATACACATATGCACATAATGGTATGAATGAGCTTACCAGGTAAACTCTAGACAAAACAAATAACTCTGAAATATGGTGGATGTGACACCCATTCACCTCACTAGGAAGAAGTAACATCACCAGCATTGTACACTGAGACTTAAAAAATTAGTGGTGCTGGTAATAATAATTACCAAATTATTTTTAATAATTACAAATAATTATTATTGATTTAAATAAGTCACCCAGTGCTCATGAATGTGTGGGGCAACAGGTACTCTATCAACTGTTCATAGGACTCTAAGTCACTTCCAACCTTTTGGAAAGTCCCTGGTAGAATTTATTAAAATTTGAAGTATATATACCATTTGATCCAGCCATCCCTCTCTGGGAATGTATTAATAGCAATAAAAGTACCAACATAAAAGATATATGTACATTCATTGCATTATTATGTATGGTACCAACAACACTGGAAAAGCCTACATGTTCATTAATAAAGGAATTGTTGAATGGATTAGGATATATCCACTCCATACAATACCGAGCATCTTTTAAATTTGAATGATATAAACGTATATTATAGATTTGGAATTATGCCATGATATACACTTTCAATATTCTTTTAACCAAGAACAGACAAAATCCCTGCCCTTTTGCAGCTAAAATTCTAGTGGGGGAAACAGGTGCTCAAGAAACAGCAAATGCAAATATGGTATAATAGCAAGTAGAATATACCTGCCTGGAAGCAAAAATGAAGCCAGGAAAGTGGGTAGATAGTGACAGGAGGCTCAGTGTGAGATAGAATGGCCAGGGAAGGGCTGCCTGATGAGATGATATTTGGGCAGAAGCCTCACAAAAGTGGTAGAGAAGGCTTGCAAAATATTTGGGACTACCATGTGCAAAGGACTTGAGGTTGCAGCATGAATCCTTGGGAAAATCAAGTCGAGTGAACAAAGCACATTCTAGAATGGTATATAGCCAGTGACGCCAGTTAGTTCTTCTTTAAGCCTATGTGTGCTCATATGTGTTTATGCATGCAAAGGAAATAATGTGAAATAGTTCATGGGAGCTACATCAAAGGGGAGATTGGGAGGGGAGACTTTTAAATGAAAAAAAGTTCTTGGGATGGTGGATGGTTCCCTTTGTGAGTCCTTAATAATGGCTCTCCGGAAATCATAAAACAAGCACTCCCCATAATTTCTTTCTCTTTTCAGGTGACACTGAAGACAAGAGGGGCCCAGGTTCGAAGACAGGTGTGTTCTGCCGACTCTGTCTTCTACTTTGGGACAGGAATGCTTTTGCCCCACTCCTCCATTGCCTTTTCTCTGTTCAATCCATGCTTTTCCTTCCAGGCCCTGACCTGGCCTCTACTTCCGGGCGAGGAAGTTATGGGCCCCCTGTGCGCAGGGCCAGCGAGGTGCAGGCGAGCTCATCTAGCCGGGACCCAGAGAGCTGGGACCAGGGTCACAGTGTGGCCGCCGGAGACTCCAGTCGGAGCCCAGCAGGTAGGAGAGATGGGCAAACCCAGGCAGACTTCCTGGATGAGGAGAATCAAAAGGGATGTGGAGGACCGTGTTTTTATTCATTTATTTATCCAGTACTTATTGAGTACCTACTGTGTGTTGTGTTCTGTTCTAGATGCTGGTTCTAGTGTAAGGGAGAGGAAAGACAGGATTCAGGAACAATTCTGAATTTAGACATCCATAATTTTGGTTATATCCTTTCCTTGCTAGAGTGCCATAAATAAGAAAAACATGGATTTTTTTTCCCTCCTCCCCCAAAAAACTCTGGGGTGAAACACCCCTTGGCTTTGCGCAAAGTCAGGATGCTTTCCTCTCATAGATCCACCCAAGTTCTTTCTTGCCGTGGCAGGTGGCCTCTGCTGTCCGTGACATGGAGTTGTCAGCATGGCCGGGCCATCGCCAGCAGCTGCTCGTGCCTCCTGGGGTTCTGGCACCTCTGGCCTCACTCATGGTGGATTTATTTGGCAAGACTGCCCACTGGTGGGAATCCTTGATTCCTGGGCTTTGAAAGAAATATCTACTAGCTTGGGGAGATCATGTCCTTTAGTCCCTTGTGTGAGACTCAGAACAGCTTCATTTCTTTTGTAATGAAGGAATGAGACCAGGTCTAAAGTTAGATGGGCTGAGTACTTAGGTCCCGTGCTGACCTCTGGCCTGTTCTTCCTGAATAGTGGGTTTGTAGCTTAGCTCCTTAGCTCCTCTTCTTGACAAGAGAGCTGGGCACATCCTTTGTGCTAATCTGCTACCTAGACCCCCTAATGACTCTATGATTCAGATTCCCAGAGAAAGATTAATTTCATAGATCTGCAACATCAGAGAATATTTACTGAGTGCTTACTATGTGTCAGATGCTGTCCCAAGCTGTTCACATATGTCATCTCATTTAATCTTTGTCACAACCCCAAATCCAGATGTGAAGACTTATAATTCCCATTTAACAGACAGAGAAACTGAGCTCAGAGAAGTGATGCTATTAGCCCTAGGTCACACAGCTGGTAATTGGCTAAAATGGAAATTAAACTCACNATGAGGAGAATCAAAAGGGATGTGGAGGACCGTGTTTTTATTCATTTATTTATCCAGTACTTATTGAGTACCTACTGTGTGTTGTGTTCTGTTCTAGATGCTGGTTCTAGTGTAAGGGAGAGGAAAGACAGGATTCAGGAACAATTCTGAATTTAGACATCCATAATTTTGGTTATATCCTTTCCTTGCTAGAGTGCCATAAATAAGAAAAACATGGATTTTTTTTCCCTCCTCCCCCAAAAAACTCTGGGGTGAAACACCCCTTGGCTTTGCGCAAAGTCAGGATGCTTTCCTCTCATAGATCCACCCAAGTTCTTTCTTGCCGTGGCAGGTGGCCTCTGCTGTCCATGACATGGAGTTGTCAGCATGGCCGGGCCATCGCCAGCAGCTGCTCGTGCCTCCTGGGGTTCTGGCACCTCTGGCCTCACTCATGGTGGATTTATTTGGCAAGACTGCCCACTGGTGGGAATCCTTGATTCCTGGGCTTTGAAAGAAATATCTACTAGCTTGGGGAGATCATGTCCTTTAGTCCCTTGTGTGAGACTCAGAACAGCTTCATTTCTTTTGTAATGAAGGAATGAGACCAGGTCTAAAGTTAGATGGGCTGAGTACTTAGGTCCCGTGCTGACCTCTGGCCTGTTCTTCCTGAATAGTGGGTTTGTAGCTTAGCTCCTTAGCTCCTCTTCTTGACAAGAGAGCTGGGCACATCCTTTGTGCTAATCTGCTACCTAGACCCCCTAATGACTCTATGATTCAGATTCCCAGAGAAAGATTAATTTCATAGATCTGCAACATCAGAGAATATTTACTGAGTGCTTACTATGTGTCAGATGCTGTCCCAAGCTGTTCACATATGTCATCTCATTTAATCTTTGTCACAACCCCAAATCCAGATGTGAAGACTTATAATTCCCATTTAACAGACAGAGAAACTGAGCTCAGAGAAGTGATGCTATTAGTCCTAGGTCACACAGCTGGTAATTGGCTAAAATGGAAATTAAACTCACATCTGCCCAACATTAAAGCCTGTGCTTTTTGTTTTTTCTCTTCCAGAGGTGAAGTTTTTATTGACAATGCTTTTTAAAATCTTTATTGTAATAAAATGTACCTAATGTGAAATGGACAGTTTTAACTACTTTAAAGTGTACAGTTTAGTCACATTGTCATGAACCCATCACCACCATCCATCTCCAGAACTATTTAATCCCAAACTGAAACTTCGTACGCATTAAACAATACCTTCAACTTCCCCCCTGCCCAGTCCCTGGCAACCACGAATCTATCTTGTCTCTGTACACTTGCTTATTCTAGACACTTCGTATAAACAGAATCATAATATGTGGCCTTTTGTGACCGGCTTATTTCACTTAGCATACTGCTTTCAAGGCTCATTCATGTTGTCGCATGTATCTGAATTTCATTCCTTTTTAAGACAATAATATTCCATTGTCTGCTTAGACCCCATTTTGTTTATCCATTCATCTGCTGATGGACACTTGGGTTGTTTCCACCTTTTGGCTTGTGGGAATAATGTTGCTATGAACATTGGTATATAAATGTTTATTTCAGTTCCTGCTTTCAGTTCTTCGGGGCTGTGCTAAGGAGTCCCATACATTGAAGGAGTGCAATGGCTGGAGTATATGGTCAGACTGTGCTGAATTTTCTGAGGAACCACCATAGTGTTTTTCACAACAGCCTCACCATTTTAACATTCTCAGTGGCAATACGTGAGGGTTCCGGTTTCTCCACGTCTTCACCAACACTTGTTATTTCCTGTATATGATATACACGTACCATATATAACCTAGCCATCCTGATGGCTGGACGGGGACATCTCATTCTGGTTTCCATGGGCATTTCCCTAATGATCAGTGATATTGAGCATCTTTTCATGTGCTTATTGGCCATTCATATATCTTCTCTTTGGAGAAATGTTTGTTCTTTAGCCCACTTTTTAATTGGGTTGTTTGTGGTTTTATTATTGAGTTAACAGGAGTTCTTTATATAATCTGGATAATAATCCCTAATCAGATATATAATTTGCAGGTATTTTCATTCCGTTGGTTCCTTTTTCACTCTGTTGACAGTATCAACATTGTCATTTGATGCAGAAACATTTTAAATTCTGATCAAGTTCAATTTACCTGATTTTTCTTTTGTTTTCTGTACTTTCAGCTCATATCCCAAAAAATCATTGCCAAAGCCAATGTCATGACATTTTCCCTGTTTTTGACGAAAAATTTTATAGTTTTAACTCTTGTGTTTAGGTCTCTTATCTCTGATTTATTTTGAGTTAATTTTTGTTAATCAAAGCCTGTGCTTTTAACCCATGTATGATTTTGCCTTCTGAGGGAAAAGAGTCATGTGACATTCCTAAACCTCATTTGGATCCCCTATCCCCGGAAAGTCATTATAAATGTTCCCCTTATTTATGAAGCTTCTAGCACTTACTTGCTCAACCTTGGGCTGAGTTAATTGCACCATTCTCTGAGGTCCGGGAGTACTGACACACAGCTCTAATGAGCACTGCACAGCTTTTTAAAGAAAAGTCTGGGATATAATGCTAGGTCCATGTGAAGACAGAGACCAGATTCTTCCAATAATAATAACAGTGTTTAGGGTTTACTACGTGCCAAACACTGTTCTGAGCACTTTGCATGCACCATATCATTCTATCTCTACCACAACCTATGAGGTAGGTACTATCATCCCCATTTAACAGACAAAGAGGCTGAGGCCCAGAGAAGCTAGATCGTGTGAGTGAAAGCAACATCACAGAAACCGCTTTTTCAACACCCATGTCACTGCTGCAACTTGCCCTGGAGGTCTGAGTATTAGAGTGACCACCCTCTGGGGAAGGATAAAGGGGTCTGAGAGATCTGAGAGTGTCAGGGGCTGCATTCAATTCAAATCAAATCCAAAGACGTTACCCGAGATGGGTCCCAAGCTTTCCTGTTTCCACTGAATGTGTGTGTGTGTGTGTGTGTGTGTGTGCGTGTGTGTGTGTGCGCACACGCACACACCTGACAGGCTGTTTCTTCTCCTTTCCCCTGCAGGTTTGAGACGGGCCAACACTGTCCAGGCCTCCAGACCTGCCCCTGCCTCCATGCAGAGCCCAGCACCTCCTCAGCCTGGGCAGCCAGGTACCTGTCACCCATTTGCCTGCTTAGGCATCACTCAGCTGGGACCCCAATAACTCCCAGCCTTGCTCAGAGAGCCCACTGGGCTTTCTGCAAGGCTGCAGCCACTGCCAAACCCTAAGGTCTTCTATGACCCTTAGAATGGGAAGCTGGGCAGCGGTTGGGGGGTGGGGGAGCATCTTACCCAGCTAAATAGAAGAAGCCACAGTGCTTTGCTCTTGAGTGTTTCCACCTGCAGGGATTGTCAGTCACACGCAGCAACCACCTACCCTTTATTTCCTTAATATCTTTCTTCGAGTTGACTCACTTTAAAAACATAACTGAGAGAACTTGCTATTACACACTCTCTTTCAAGGAAATTTAAAGGACATTGGCCTTATAAAAAGGCAGTGTTCCCAGAAGAGTAGTGTGAGATTCAGCAAGAAATGGTAAGCAGGGAGATTAATGATTTGCAAAAATCTAAATAAATATGGACTGTGCAAAACAATAGAAATAATGCCTAGTTGGTACAGTTAAAAATTTGTTACTTTCAAAGAAACCTATATTGGCATATGTGGGAAATGAGTGTTCATGCCATAAAGAAGAGTGTATTAGTTGGCTAGGGCTGCTATAACACAGTAGCACTGGGTGGCTTAAAAAAAAACAGAAATCCATTGTCTTACAGTTCTGGGCCAGAAGTCTAAAACCTAGGTGTCAGCACGGTGGTTCTGTCTGAAGGCTGTGAGAAGAATCTGTTCCATGCCTCTCTCCTAGCTGCTGGTGGCCTCAGGCTTTCCTTAGCTCATAGATGGCATGCTTCCTATGTCTTCACATTGTCTTCTAGGCAGGTCTCTCCTGGGTCCACATTTCCCTTTTCTGTAAGGACACAGTCATACTGGACTAGAGTCCACCCTAATGACGTCATCTTAACTTGATCATCTGTAAAGACCCTATTTCTAAATAAGGTCACATTAACAGGTACTGTGAGGTTGGGGTATCTACATCTTTTAGGGAGCACAATGCAACCCATTATAGAGGGTAATTATAAAACATAATGAAAAGAAAACAGTGCAATGAAATCTCAGTACTCTGGCCTGCTGAGGGTTCTGAGTTCTCTTTTGTTCAAAAGGGAAATTTGCAATGGTTAGAGAGGTGTTAAAGACAGAGTAGCATCTAGGTGAGACTTTCTCCATGACAGAATCAGAAATGACAGGCAATAGAAACAGGAATGACTTTCTCTCTGTGTCACTGAATGTAATGTCATGCCCCATCCCTGTGACTCTCCCTTGCATCCCACACTTTGGGAAATGTAGTTGTAAAGAGTCCACCTGGATCACTAATGCCACTGTAGCAATGGTAACTCAAGGCAAACTCAAAGCGTAAGCTTGCCTGCCATCTTGCACATGATTCTCACTCCATTCATCTGCCAGCCTCACAAAAGCCAGAGAACATTGAAAAGCCGGTATCACCAGCCCCATTTACAGAAGAGGGAGTTGAGGAAGGGAGGATTGGGGCTTGAACCCAGGACTTTCTGACTCCAGAATCCCCCAGTGGAACGATTCCTGCAGCCCTGGATACCCCTGCACATCACCTACTGCCTCAGTCCTGTGTCCACACCCATGAAAAAGGGCGGCCCAGGGCAATCATCTCTGCTCCATCCTCTTTCTCTCTTTTCCCCACTTAGGACCCTCAGGAGGCAGCAGACCGAGTCCTGGGCCAGCAGGTCGCCTTCCAGATCAGAGACCAGGCAAGTATCCTTCCAATGCCTACCATCTCTCCCACTTCAGCCCCCACACTGCCAGACCTCTGCCCACTCCACACCCAGAAACCTAGTTGATGAGCTCAAAGGGGCCCCTCTCATCCCACAACTTCAGATGGTCTATACTAAAATTAGATAGACAGAAAATGGCCTCACATGAAATGGATAAGAGCACACATTGTCTGGATTCACACCACTGCTCCTTCATATCCTGGCTGTGTGGCCCTGGACAAGTTACTTAACCTGCCTGAGCCTCAGTTTCCTTATCTCTAAAATGGGGATAATACTACGACCTACTTCACAGAGTTGTGGGAGGATTAAACAAACTAACACATATAAAACTGTAGCACATGGCCTGGAATATATTATGACCACCCTGAGGGACAGTGATGATTATATATGTTACATGTGCATTGCCATCATCATCAATTGCCACAGCAACAGCTTATTTGTTGTTCTCTAATGCACCAGGCACTGTTCTAAGGCTGTACATGTATATTAGGTAATGTTAAAAATAATAGCTACTCCTATTTGAGCACCTTCAGGTATTATAATTCCCATTTATAGAGGAGGAAACTGAGGCTCAGACACATTAAGTAACTTGCCCCAGCTCACAGAGCAGAGATCCAAACCAAGGCTGTCTGGCTGCAGAGCCAAGACCACTGATAAGTACCACCATGAGTTGTGTTCTGCCTGCATCTGAGTCAGCTCATGGGACTTGTCATAAAACAGATTCCAAGGCCCCACTGCATTGTCTACTGATTCTGGGTGGTGCCCAGGAACCTGCATTTTTGCACCCTTCCCTAGGTGGCTTTAACAAAGGCAACATTCCAAGAACCACTGAACATGATAGCATGATATGACAGCCCTGTCGCCTGGAAGTGGTGATCCTTCATTGAAGGGCTCTGGGTGATTCTGGTGCAAGGCTTACTGAATGCCTGGTATATAGTGGGTGGTCTCGCACATAGTAATACTGTAGCAGCTGATGCTGCTACTATTAAGACACAGGTGCCTCTCTCCATGTCCCCTGCAGAGGTGGCTCCCAGTGATCCTGGCTATGCAGGGGCTTCTGCCCCACCACGGGAGGACAGAATGGGGGGAGTTGGCTACTCAGCAGTAGGAGCCAGGGAGAACCGCACGGGCCACCCTCCAGGCTCCTATTCCCAGGCGTCTGCTGCTCCCCAGCCTGCTGGGGTCCCCGCCCGCCAGCCCCCACCTCCAGAGGAGGAGGAAGAGGAAGCCAACAGCTATGATTCGGATGAAGCAAGTAGGTGGCACTTCACGGAGGGGTGTCTGGGAAAAGTTGCCTCAAGGGTCACTCCCGGGGAAACAGGAATGGCTCCAGGGATAGCCTTGTACACCCCCTGTCCCCCTAGATGCCAAATCTAATAAACATATTAACCAAGTTATAAAGAAAACTTTGTGCTACTAAGTTCACAAAATGACATCAGCTTTCTAAAGAACTGGTACTATATATATATATATATTTTTTTAAATACACATAACCTCAAAGTTACTATTTAAATCATTGAAGAGTACAGTTCAGCTGCATTCACTTGGTTTAGCTTGGCGGTTCCACAGAATTATCACAGCAGTTCTACTCTGTGGCCATCCTACTTTTCTGCCTTTCCACATCCTGGTCCTTCACCCAGAACAGTGACCCCCGCTCCCACTTTCTGCCTTACACATCTTTTCCGGGACCTGCCAAGCCTGGATGAACCCTCCCAGCCTGTGTCTGCCCCAGTTGTGATCTGTCCTGGCAATTCCTAACAAGCCTGCCTCCATTTTCAACTCTATCTGCCTCCCTCATCTCTATACTGAACAGGTTTTTATTGAGCACCTACTAGGTACCTCCAGACTATTCTAAACGTTAGGGTACCGGGGCAAAAAAATGACAGGCAAGATGGCTGATCTAATGAAACTAACATTCTAGTAGAGAGACACAGTTATCATTGAACTGCGTTCATTTCAAATAGAGATAGAGCACCATGAAGAAAATAAAATAGGGTGAATAACCATGAAGATGGCTGCTTTAGATGCAGTGATCAGAGAGGGCTTCTCTGAGGAGGTGGCATCTAACCTGCAATATGGATAATGAGAAAGGTGCCAGCCATGTGAGGATCTAGAGGGAGAGCATTCCAGGCAGAGGCAACAGCAAATGCTATTACTCGTGTATTCCCTCAGCAAGTAAGTGAGCACTGACTGTGTGCCCTGCATTGTGCCCAGTGTGGACATAGCCATGAATAAGACAGTTAACTGAGCAACTGAACAAATGATTAACTGATCCCAGATGTGCTGAAGGCTCCCAAGTAGAAGAGGGTCTACCGGGATGGGGTATCCAGAGCAGGCCCTGAGCATTCCTCTCCTCTGTAAGCCCAATGCCTGGCCAGACTGGCACAGATTAAGGGCACATGAAATGTTTGTTGAATAACTGGATGAATGTTCTCTTGGTGCCTGCCTCTGCCCCCTTCAGCCACCCTTGGTGCCCTGGAGTTCAGCCTTCTCTATGAGCAGGACAACAGCTCTCTGCACTGCACCATCATAAAGGCCAAGGTGGGTGAGGGGGCCCCACTCAGGGTGCTCTGGCATTTCTGGGGGACTTGGGGAGGGTATGAGTTACCAAGCCTGTCTCCTGTCATTGCCTTATCTATCTGTGACAATGACGGAGATGACAGAGGGCAGGGATTAGCTATGGCCAATTCCTTTGGGGGTGTTCTTCCTCCAGCGATGATCCCAGAGGGGTTTCATTTAACTGTGGCTGCCACCCAGGAGTAGAGGCAGCCAGGCTTCAAGAGCAGAGCCCAGATCTGCCCAGCCCCATCTACAGCCACTGGAGGGGACCGCAGAGGTGCCGCCGGGAGGCAATGACAGCCCGACGTGACAGCTGACATGCCCATCGAACGGCTTCTTCTGTTTATGTGGCTGTCAAGTTGGAGCAGCGGCCTGAGTCGGGGGCCATTGTTGCAGATACAAAGACCATCATGTGGGCCTGCGAGGGGGTGGGAAAGGCAAACCAGGATGGAAGAGCATCTCCACGCAGCAGGCTCAGGGGAAGGGAGCTGACTGAACTCCAGACCCTGAGAAAAGCTGGATGATATGAGTGCAAATCTCAGAAAGTAACTGAGCAGGATTTCCCCCCACTCCAAGTCTGGTCTGTGTAGAAGAACAAGCAAGGCTGCGGAACCAGGGGTCCTGGGGTCAAATACCAGCTCCCCTGCTCCTAGCTGTGTGACTGAGGGAAGTTACTGAACCTCTCTGTGCCTCAGTATGTCCATTTGTAAACTGGAGATAGTAATGGAGCCTTGTCAATAGGGATGACTGTGAGTATTAAGTGTAAGACATGGGCTAGTTTGTGTAGGACGGTCCCCAGCTATGCCTGTTGCCTCACTATGATACTTAAAAGCTCCCCTTTCACTCACAAAAACATCCCTGTTTGGATGATAAATGAGGTACGAAATGCTTAACATGACTCCTAGGTCAACACACTCAGGTTATTTCATCAGCAAGCAAGCATTTATTGAGCCCTATGATGTATCAGCCACAGTGGCAAGCACTTAGGTGCATTCACCACCACCCCAGTGACACAGGAAGCGAAGTGCATCTTATTTCATCTTCATAGGGACCTCTGAGGTGAGGAACATTATTGGCCCCATTGTGCAGATGGGAAACCTGAGGCCCAGAGAGTGAAAGCCTGAGGTCACAGCTGGTAGGTTTTGAGCTGGATTTGAGTCCAGAGGTAACAGTCTCTCTCTTTCTGTCCATAACCATTCACTCGCAGTCCCCTCTTCCAGCTCCAGATATGGGGGGAGCCACATCAGTACAGCCCCTTTGAGACAGGGCTCCAGAAACTCAGATGCCCACAGGCTAGGCTGGTGATGGTGGTGAGAAGTGTGGGTTG